CTCCTTCCCCCCCCCACTCCGCAACAGCCTTCCTGCCTGCCTCTACAGCCCTTTGCAGCCCTGAAGGAGCAGGACCCTCTGCTGGGGAGGGGGCATTGCAAGGGTGCCCCCCCTCCGGCAATAGTCCAGAACAGCCAAAGGCAGATGCCCTCCTGCCCCACAAGCCCCCCCCCCAGAGAGCCCAACCCATCACAGGGCCCATCAAAAACTCCATCTCAAACTTGAAACAATGGAGGGCATCAGATTTTAGTGGGTTTTGGTGCAGTCCTCCCCTACACAATCGGCTTCAAAAGTGTCCCCTCCCCTCTTTCCACCATCTCCCTCCTCCTGGCTTCCGGGAGGGTCCGTTCCTCGACAGGGATGAAGGTCTCCCTTTTATGGTGCCCCTGGGCATTCACACAACACACAGAGCCTCAGCTGCTCTGTGCCCAACAGAGGCCAAGTACAGGCAAGCCCTCGACTTAACGACCACAATGGATCCCCCAAACCTCTGTTGTTAAGCGAAACATTGGTTGAGTGGGTTTTGTCCCACTTTGGGACTTTTCTTGCTGCAGTTGTGTTAAGTGAATCACTGATAGATAAGTTGGTCGCACGGTCGTTAAGTGAATCCGGCTTTCCCCGTTGACTTGACTCGGCAGAAGGTCGCAGAAGGGGGTCACACGACCCCAGGGGGACACTGCGACCGTCACAAATGTGAGTCGGTGGCCGAGCATCCTAACGGAACTCACGTGACCACGGGGAGGCTGCAAGGGTCATAAGTGTGGAAAACGGTCTTTCCCATGCCGTTGTAATTTTGAACAGTCACTAAGCAAAGGGTTGTAAGTCGAGGACTACCTGTATTGTTTAACCCTAACCCTTCCCCCCCCCAGGAAGGAGGAAGGGCAAGCACAGCAAAGGCAGCCATGTGGGTGTCCCTAGAAGGGAAAAGGGGGGCAGGAAAGCTCCCGAAAGCTTTTAAGACTTGAGGTGAAAATGGTTCCCTTCCTTGGAAGCTAGCTTCTGTGTAAGACCTCAAAGAGTGGGTTCCCCATCCAAGGAGTCCCTCGGGCAATCTGGGGTCCACACGCTGGCAGGGTCTGCTTCCCCTGAGTAGCCAGACTTGGCCAGGTTCACAGGCTAGCCTGAACAGCTCCGTTGTGGTCAACGCATTATCTGAGCCCGCCTCCCCCTCCCTCCCAGGGCAGGTGTCCTTTGCCACTCACCCAGGGCTCCTCCATTTTGTCTTCCCCTCCCACTCCCCACCCCCCCAGCAGACCCCTGAAGGAGAAGCTCCAGCGCCTGCAGTGTCACTTCACCTGGGATTTTGAGGTCAAGGACAAAATGAACATCAGGCACTCCCTTGTGACTCTGTCTCTCCGCCTGGAGCACGACCCCTTCTGTAACCGGGGCACCTATCTCGCCCTGAAGGCCTACCTGCGCCATCTGGAGGGGAGCCCCAAAGAGGCCCTGGACATCCTGAAGGAAGCCAAGGAGGTCTTGCGGAAGGAACCTCAGGAGACCTTCTCACGCCAGGTCCTGCTGATCTACGGGAACTACGCTTGGATCTGCTACCACTTGATCGATTATGAGAGGGTGGACCTTTACTTGGGACAGATCCGCCAGATCTGCCGGGAACTGTCCAGCCCTGAGCCCTACTCGGCCCCGATCCCGGAGGTCTACGCCCAGAAGGGCTGGTCCCTCTTGGCCATGGGCTTCCGGAACGGCCAGCTCGCCAGGCAATGTTTCCAGACGGCCCTGGAGCTGCAGGAGCCCAACGCGGAGCTGGAGGAGGGCCTGGCTTTCTCCACCTTTGCTTCCTGGACACACTGTTACGATGACAAGTTACAGGAAGAGGGCCAGAAGTTGCTGGAAGGGCTGATCCGTAGCCAGCCCGAAAACTATGAAGCCAAAATATACTTGGCACAGATTCTCTGTTGGAAAGATGATGAAAGAGCAGGGTACCTTGCTGATGATGTGGTCCAGAACAGTCTCAACCCGGAACTCCTTAGATTTGCCGCCAAGGTCATTAAGACCCACTCTACCTCCCAGGCTATTTCCACCCTGAAGAAGGCCATTACCCTCCAAGGTGACTACTATCTCTTGCACTACGACCTTGGCATGCGTTACATGTACCTCTTGGAGCGAGGATCGGAGGGGAACAGAGCGGAAATCGTGGAAGACGCCATTGAGTGCTTCAAACGGTCACTGGAATTGGATCCTGGATCTGTGTTTTCCCGGGTGAAGCTGGCGAAGTACGGAGAGAGATGCCCGCTTTACGAGGAGGAGGTCTACCTGGGCTTGATGGAGGAGCTGCCAACCGCCAGCAAGAGGTGCCAGCAGTCTTTCTATCTGCACTGGGGGGATTTTCTCCTCCGCAAGAAGGGGCAGAGGCAGGCAGCGCTGCGGGCGTACCGGGCCTGCTTGGAGGTGCCGGGGGACCACCCTCTGGAGCAGAACCAGCTGGAGCACCGTCTGAAAGAGCTAGCCAGGGCCTTCCGTTCTGAAGGCGAGATGGAACAAGAGAGAGTGGTCCAGCGTCTGCTGCACGAAGTGGCAACAAAGCGTTGGGCTCTTCGTCAAAATGCAGGGTGGGCCCTGCCCTCATGGGACCTTCCCCAGTAACCAGTTGGGAGTATCGGGGTGCTCCATCCCCATGGAGGTGGTGCCCCTCACAGCCCTGATGCTGCTCCTTCCTGGGGTGTTTCTGGAAAGCAGAATAATGTGCATGAATAATCCAGGGTGCACACCGGACAATTTTACACCATC